TTTTTTTTTTTTTTTTTTTTTTTTTTTGCTCAAATAAGCATTAAAAAATTGCTGAACGCTCATTATTATACCTGCTTTCTATTATTAGGATACAAATTTAAGCACAAATAAAAACCTATCAACCAATGCAGACACTCACACATATACCTCAACTATTTATATAATATATACAAAAAAAAATAGGAGAAGTATTAAAGGAAGAATCTTTAACAAGAATTATTCATACTAAGCTATACTTTTGCTCTTCAAAAATCTTTTTTCCGTTATCATCAAAGTCAGTATCTAAAACATCGAGATCATCTTCAATTTTTTAAAATTACTAATCTAGGCACCGAAATCAGAACCACTTGTAACAGCTCAAATTTATAAAGAAAAATAAAAAAAAAATAAAAAGTAAAAAAAAGCTGCTCAACGATGAAAAGATCAAACTTACGAGAGAATGCTACAGCAACTTTTTGAACACCACCCATTTCTTTCAAGGAATTTTTGCCTTTTTCACCAAAAACGAGCCCAAAGAAATCGGTACCGTGGGCGTTCAGCAATGCATTAAGGAATGATGCAGTTTCTTCTACCGGTGGTCTAATAGCTAAAGCAACTTTCTGTCTTTCAAAAACCTCTTTCTTTTTTGTGGTTGTCGTTTATACAGTTTTATACAGCTTATAGTAAAAAAGCAAGAAAAAAAGCTGCTTCAAGTTTAGATTTACCTGCTGTGCACATGCTTTTGTTTTCATCATAACCATCGCCACAGTCCGGTGACCCGTCGCAAAGGTATTTTATTGAGACACAATCTCCATTCGGGCATTGAAAAGGATGCCATGGCGGACATTTAACCACTGAAATATTCAAGTTTTTTTTAGTTTACCTTCAACTATGCTTAGTTACTTGCCGTTCACATCTAAAAAACCGTGTTTTTTCCCTCAGAAAAACAATATTTTACTGATTGGAAAATTTTATTACCCTAAGTTTTTTCTCTTATTTGTTTATCCGTTATTCTAGTATACTTTTTTTGCATCTATCTATAAATCCTATATTAAAACTGAAAGATGGAACATTAATTGTTCATAAGATCAATAAACTTTAATAAATTTTCTTCTGAAAATGGAAGTAGAGCAAAAAAGGGCAGATTTTTTCTGCGTAAAACATGTATTATCAATGATTGCAGTAAGCTGTGCATACACATACCTCCTTCAATTTCGTCATTCCGTTTTTGCTCGGTTCGCATACGAAGCTTAAATGCACTACCGTAAGTGATAAGTAAAATAACAAATATAGCCAACATAGTTAGTTTTGGCATTGTTCCGTATATTGCAATTAGGACCCCTGCAAAAAGAAAAAGAAACTAAGCAAAAAATAGACAAGCAAATAATAAAACGTCTAATTCGACAAATTTACCGGCAAACTCTATTATCTCACACCGATATTTGCCAAACAATTGTAACGATACAGAGCGAGCGATACGCGAAACAAAATGACAGTATTAGCAGTAATAGTAATGATAAAAGTGGTTGATCACCGATATTATTGTCGTTAAAGTGATATGAAGTAGAAAAGAGAAACTGTATGGAAAATGAAGTAGTTTTATCGATGAAAACTGCCGCTGTTGCTGTTGCTGTCGATAATGTTAGCACATTTTGTCTGCATATTATTTTAACTGATTCAGTTCTATGGGAAAATTTGAAAAAAAAAACAGAAAAATAAAAAACAATAAAAAAGTGAAAGACGGTTTTTCTTGTCTTTTTTTTTTCTTTTTAATAACTTATATTGTATTCATAAACAGAATAAGAAATGCTAAATCTGAATAGTTTCCTGGTTTTATCGACACACAGACAAGAAAATCAATGCTAAAGTGACTGAAAAAGGAAATATGATTTTAAAAGAAAAAAAAATTCGTTGATTTTTTATTTGTAATGTCAACAAATTGTGTGGATTTCCTTGCCCTCTCATTTTGTTTTATATTCACAATCTCCTTTCAAACTGTTTGGTGGCTTTTGTGGAAAGACAACTGAATAAATGAAAAATAAAACAATATAATAAAATAAAAGTGAAAAGTGAGGTGCTGAAAAAATTATTAGGAAAAGAAGGAAAAGTAAAAGAAAAAACAAAAATAATAGTTTTGGAGATGTGTAAAGACAAAAAACAATACTTTTTTGGAGGGAGTGGGACGAGGATTCAACGGAAATAAAAGACGGGAGTTCGGGAGAAACTGCGGAGAGAGGGTAAATGAATGGGGGATGGCGATGAAATTATAATGGCGTTAAGTAAAAGTTCTGTTCTGATGGCATACTGAGAAACGGAAATTGGAAAATTTTTTTGCAACAATAGCTATTTTCGGTGTCAAAGTAGAACAAACAAACAAACAAACAACAATAAAAGAAAAGATGTAAAGAAAAGTTTAAAATGCTAATCTTTAAAAAAAAAAAAAGATTTAGAAAAATCACTTTTCACTTGTATAGTTTTTTATGGTGCTAAAATAAAATAATGTCTTCAAAACCGAAATGACAACTATTGTTTAGAGAAATCCAATATCTAAATGTGTCATTGCCTTGGAGAAAGCTACCTGCTGAAAGGCAAAAAAAGTAACTTTTGTCAAAGCCTTCTAATTCAGTCTATCCAGTATAGAGCTTACAGATGGCTGAGACTGTGCAACAGTCTTAGCTAAATTGAACTATCTATTTGTTGTTACTTATCGCCACCTGATCACCGACATCGTCGTCCATTCCTTCATCAGTATCTCACCACTGACTGATATACCGTTGCTGACAAAAGTAAATTGGCAAAAACTGCGTCAGACTGCATACACTGCAGTTCAAACAGCTCTCTAATAATTTTTTTAATTAAAACAATTATTGTTTAAAAAAAATGTTTTAAAAATATCAAAAAATGTATGAGAAAAACAAAATAAAAATTTTTTTTGGTTTTTGCTTGTTTATTCAATTAGCGATTTCAAGCTTATTTAAACAGCATATATTTGTAACTTTTTTTGGTGTTTTCTATTTTGACTTTAAATTACCGTCATCCATTTCACCGTCATCACCGCCCCTTTTCTGTTTATGTATGAACGAAAATTTTCATCAACAAGATACAAGTTTTTCTGCAACAAACTAGAAACTTTAGAAAATTGGTTCCCAAAACGTTTAGCAGTAAAGCAGTAGTTGAAAAAAAGTGAACAGATTAGAACACAAAAAAATAAATTAGTGTAAGTAAGAAGAAAAAATAACATAATACAATTAAGCATAGAGCCATTCCGCGCTAAATACCATATTTTTCCAAAGTCACCCTCGCAGATTTTTAAGACTTTGAGAGATTATAAGAATTGGTATCTGAGTGTGAACTCAAAAAGAATACCTCAAAAAGTCTAATAACGACAAAGTTAGACCGTTTTAAAGTGTAAGAAAAATGTGGTTTCTTGCTAGATACAGTTGTCTTTAAGAACTCTTTTAGCTTTGTTCACTCATAACAAATTTTTTTTTATTCTTTACTTCATTTGAAGCCATATCGCGTTTGAGCTCAGAAAAATAGTACATAAGTTAACAAAAAACATAGAAAATTAGAATAATATTAAAAACTTTAAACGATGTTTTTACAAGGCTCATCCTTTAAATTTTTCATATTTTTTAAAGACATGATTTTTGCAAAGCGTGTTTAAGTTAGAAAGTTTTACTTGACGGTACCACAAGCTACAATACGATTGATAATATTGGAGTACAAGAAATTGTTGATTGTTGCAGCATTTTGGCCTCTCTACAAGGCAAACGGTTCCTATTTCAACTGAAATACTTTTATCCTGAAATTTTCTTCAATTCGCCTATCGCAACAACTGGTGTTATTTTTTTGCTGCTGAGTAATTTGAAGAAACTTTACCGGAAAAAGCTGTAAATACATTTTCAAACTGTATCGTTTTGCTTCTTTACCGAACTTTTTCAATCAAAATATTTAACACACATCATTCATTTATTCAGCCGAAGCATTGTTTAATTATATTCCTAGCAGTACCACCTCTTAAAATAAAATAAAATTTCTGCATTATTCTTGTAAACGAAGGTTTCTAGGAAAGTCCTGTAGAAAATAATTTGAGTTTAATAAGTATGAGCAGAGGACAACTTTTGCGGGAAAAAATCTAACAAAAACGCAGACCTATTAGCCTATGGACAAACTTGAAGAAGAAGGATAACAGAAATGATAGTGGAAAATCACCTTTTTCTCTTCAGTTTGTTCGTTCGCTCAAGTTTCTGTTAACCATGAGTTAAGAAAATTTTGCTTTATCTACAATTTCTTCTGTAATCCATTTAACCACCCTGACCATAGTCATCTGAGGAGTAATTGACAGTTTCTTCCTGCATGAAGTAGAAGAGGAATTTCAAGGTCGGTCTACGATCTCAAGATTTGTAACATATGTGCGACTTTGCTAAAAGCTACACAATGTTAGTCTAGAACGCCATAGTATCAGATACCGGTGAAGAAAAACGTAGATTTTGATTCATTCTTCTGAAATATACTTCATGAAAGAAATAAACATCTTTTATTACTTTCTACAATCTCACTGTAATATCGGGATGCTTTACCTATGGTAGGATATCCGTACACTTATTTCAATAGCACTTGTTGAATTTTCTAAAGAAAACATATAATTCAATGAAATTCAACTACTTTACCGATAAAGCTGTATGACAAACTAGAAACTGAAAAAACTTTACAACTCTCATTTTTTT